GCCATGCATTATGCCTCGGGATAAGTCATCATGTTTGGAAATTTTTTGAGTAGAACAAGATATTCCATGGCTATGCGATCTTTGAGCAAATGTTATTGTATACAACACCAAGGCAAGTAGTAGGCCTAATCTGCCTATTGTAAGTAGCCTACCTACTGTTCGTCACCAGAAAGGAACTTACCGCTCCGACGTTGCGTCATGTGCAATATAACAAATGACTCAAATGTAAACAGCATGCGACGGGATTCCCTGAAAAAAATCAGCATTGAGTAGGCCTACAGGTCGAACTCTTCAACGCTCGAAGCATTATCACGCAGCTTAAGCTCATACACAGAGACAACTCGGACTTGGTTATAATAACTGAGACTTGGTTGAATCCACAAATAGCATCATCTGAGGTTTTTTTTAGCAATAATTATTCCGTTTTCAGGAAGGATCGCGAGCTGTCTCTTATACACATCTAGATGTGTATAAGCGGAAAGTCTCGAGGAAGCCAAGTGCTAAAGTTTGTTAAGACATCTGACAAAGCAGGTCAGATTTAGAATCTCGTTTGGAGTAACTATTTTTCAATTGCAGATTCCTTAATAATGCTAGGTCCATAACCCAATATACTTACTGTATCCAAGTATTTTTTTGTTTCTTCAATCAAAATAAAGGTATGGAATGGGTTGCTGCAAATGCATCAAAACCCGCCGTTGCATCAATGTCGTTGGGAGGGACACTATCTATGGCTCTTAATAATGCTGCCGACTCTCTGGTGCAATCTGGTGTCGTCCTGGTAGCAGCGTCGGGAAACGAAGCAAGCGACGCATGCACTACGTCTCCTGCGTCTGCAGTGGAGGTAAAACAAAAACTATTGTATTGTATATCATAGGCCTTTATGCTGTTGTTGACAGAATGTCTGATGCTGTTGTTAAAGAATGTCTGAACACGTCATCAAGTCGGTAATTAAATTCCATTTTCTTTGCAGTACTTACGCCGACTTTATTGCAATTTACCAGCAGTTTCTTTATACCTCACTGCACTTCAATTTCAATTGAAGAACAATTCAGAGGAGTGCTTGCGGAACATTATACGGTCCTCCACCTTCAAAGAAATTGTTTTCTAAGCGCACAATACGTTCTAAAACCTCTGCTTAAAATGGCCTATAAAACATTTTGATTTCCCAGAACGTCAGAACCAACACCATTAGCCTCCACTCGAAATTTTAAGACCCTTCTCAGTGACCGATTTAAGAAAGAGGGGGAACCGGCCCAGGGCCTCCAATTTTTTTCCTAAATTATTTCCTAAACAAATTTAGAAAAAAATAATTTATATTCAAACTTATGTCTGAGCGGGCCATCTAGAGGTGTCATAATCATAATTTGTCTTACTTCAACCCCAACCATGGTTAGGCTGAAGTGGAGTTTCTAGATAGACCATTCACCTGTGAAAGTGACGTCCTTCCCTGGGCCCCCTCTTTATTTTGAATTCCTGGCTCCAACACTGTCTCTCATACATTGACAGATATTTTAATATCTATAGTTATAAATAGTCTAGTATTTAATTAATAGAGATATACTGCATAGTTATTTCAGTTGTATTTAATGTCAATGGTAAAAAATGCGATGCATAAAACATTTTTCAAGAATGTCCTTGTGCAGCTTCCTAATTATTTAAAACAAAAAAATCCTTTCATAGTTGCAACTCAGTGCATCCCCTGAATTGCATCCTTCATTGGAAAAGAATGTTTAATGCATATCAAAAATGCTTTAATCCATCACCAGACACAAACCTGATCATATTCTTTTGAGGTATTTTGGTCTCGTAGACAGTCTAGGCCTAATGTATGCCCGGCAAACTCCATTCATTTAGGCATCAAGGACGTCGGAGATCGGCTAAAGCCTGGTTTCCATAAAAATTATTACACGCTATCGCCTACTCCTTTGGCGACGCTGATTGGTCAGTTGAATCAAAGAGCGTTCCCGATTCCTTCTGGAACAGCTAAGCAGTGCAAGGATTGCAGTGAAAACGCTGTAGCGATTGCGTAGCTATATTGTATGGAAACGGAGTTATCTTCAGAGAGCATTCCTGATTCCGTCGGGGACAGCTACGCATTGCAAAGACTACCGTGAAACCGCTGTAGCGACTGTGTAGCGATTTCATTGAAACTAAGCGTTTAGAAGACATTAATTTTAATATTATATTTATTTCGTAGGTGATATCTGTAAGTTCTTCTAACAAAAATGATGAATGGTCAACATTTTCAAATGAGGGGTCATGTATTGATATAATCGCACCAGGAGAGGAAATCGTGAGTGCTTGGATTGATTCAGACACTTCATCACAGACACTAACCGGAACGTCAATGGCATGTCCTCATGTTGCAGGTAGGTAGAAGGTACCAAGGTTTTTGTTCACAATTAAAACATTTTACGTCTCGCAATGAGACTGTAAATCAGAGTATATTCATACACTGTAAACATTTACGGTAACATTTACAGTAAAGTTTCAATAATATGTATACAAAAATAAAATCGTAGACAGCATGTACGGTCAACAAACAGTACAGTAAATTGTGATCGTCAAATAAAGGCCGACAGTCGTTTTGTCTTTGTCGTGGAGGAAGGAAGTCTTTTCTCCATGGTATTGTGTACCAGCTAGTCCGAGTTCAAACAAAAAACCAGGGTTAAGAAAAAACTCCAATTTTTTTTAAATTAATTAATAAAATCTATGCTTCAAAGTTGTCACCTTCTGAAAAATGTTATTTCATTTTGTCTACCTATTTTATATATACATGTGAATAGGATATCGTT